AATAAACACAGTAGAACTGGATTTGCATTGTCTCTTGGAGTTCTTTGGGCTAAACCTGACACTGGGAGAGAACATCAGAAATTGTGATCATGTGACTGCAGGATGCTGCGACAGCCAGAATTCTGAGGACACATCGTAAGCCCCCTTTGTTCAGTGCCGTCACGAGTTTGAACGGTCATTGAATGAGTGGTCGTAACTCAAGGACCACCTGTATATTCGTCAGTGTGGAAGGAACAGGATTGGGAGAAAAATGCTGCTTTACTGAGATCTAGGAATACAAGATTACTAAAGAAACTTGTTACATCCATTCTATTTCATTTAACCATAATAAAATTGCTGATTTCTCTTTGCATCCCTGCACCTAAAATTTCATAGTTCATGAATCTCCAATTATGCAACCAAATGAAATTATTCAAATTAAGCAAAATTTTCTATTAAGTTGAAGAAGCGGAGGACGTGAATTTCTGGAGAGTGAAGAGGAGATAGAACAGGGTGGGGAGGCATTGGGACGAAGTGCCACCCTCACTGGATCCTGCTCTACATGCATTTCCAAATATCCGTTGTCTCCATAAGGTCTAGAACCTTGGGATATTCTGAAAGGGTGGATGGGAGGGCTTACGCACTCAAGTATAGGAAACTGATGGCTGTTTCAACCAATTATATTTGTACAGATGAACGATTCTTCTCTTACCACAGGTTATACCTCCAGGTCAGCCCAGTTGGAGGGATAAGAAATATAGAGGATGTTTCACTTGTCGTGTCTGGCAGTTTGGACACTGGGTGGAGGTCACCATAGATGATTGCCTGCCTTGTCTTGGGGGCAAACTCTGTTTCTCCCAGTGCCAGACAGAAGATGTGTTTTGGCTTCCCCTGCTGGAGAAAGCTTATGCCAAGTAGGTGATGGGCATGTTCATTCTGGCTAGGGTGCTTGGATATATCCCATTTCTCTCCAACTTGGAATGATTTAAATGTGTTAGAATTCCCATTTAGTATGTGAATTAAAGTGACAAAATGGCACTTCAGAATCTAGTCTTTTTCCTAGCTTGAGCTGGAGGTATCCGTGCATAGCACCAGTTGCCTCAAACTGGTAATGTCACCAACCCATCACTTCCTCAAACCAATTTTCAATATTTTAAATCTACTTTTTAGCCCAAAGTATGAATGAACAATTAAAAAATGTGCAAGTAGCATTTCTAAAAAATACATTTTAAAATAATTAACCATCATAAATGAGGGAGGGAGGAAGACATACCCATTAAGCTGTATAAAAGGAGAAAAAGAAACAGATTTGCCTTTGTTAAGAGCCCAGCCTAACCAAGAGCCCTGAAGAATTCTCATCTCTTGGATGTAGGTTGTGGTTTTAAAATGGGCCAAATAAATTGCCACAGACAACACGTAAGTGCTGGTTTATAAACTTTGGATGTCATTAAGGTAAGTTACTTTCACAATCTGTCTGGTGCAGAATAGGACATAGGTTGACAAAAAAACCAAAATACTTTTTTTTTTTTTTTTACCTAAATGGTCTGGCCAAGATGTCCTTCCTTCCTTCCTTCCTT